TCCCATAAAAAAAATTAAGTACTACTTGCAAGGCTTGTTAGCAACTGACATAAGGTGTTAATTTTTTTATGTAGAATTTCAACGTAATTCTTTCTTGAATTAATGATTATTTGGATATCAATTTAGAGTGCAAATCTTTCATTTATACATGTAAACATTTATGAATCTAAATTTAGATTTGATTTAAACCTAAATATATTTGTTATTATAATTTATTTATAATTTTAAATTATTTTCATATTTAAATTATTTATAATTTTAGCCACTCCAACTCTCTTGTTTTATTCAAGTTTTTAATATCTTTAACACTCTCATATACTTTTTGTCTCTTGTTCTCATTGCTCATTAATTAAAAAATAAATGTAAACTCATTACTCTTAATTTTTTATTTTTGTTTTAGACTCAATTCACTTTTTTATTCCTTTAAAATTGTTTACACTGTTCAAACAAAATATTTTAAATATATGAGAATTTAAATCTAAAATTTTAAATCTAAAATTCACATCCATTTATCAAAACATTATCTTGTAATTTAAATTTTTGAAAAAAAATATTGGCATATTTTTCTCACATACTAACCATTATTGCAGGGAGGAAAAAAAAAAGGGCAAATCAGCCAAATCTAATGCTTGAATTTGATTTTGATGTATGGTTTTTTATAGATACATATATTGTTATATCATTTTAACATATTTTTTATCTATGTATTTTCTATGTTAGTTTTTAATGTTTAGATAACTCATACTCTGGATAGGCATACATTGAATGCAGTAATGCACGAAGTGTATAGGCATACATTTTGGGGAAAAAATGTCATTTATATTTTTAATATTTAAATTGATAAAAATCATGAAATAAAACACTGGTTATTTATATGAATGTGCTAATAAATTCTAAAATAAAACACATTTAAATTTTAATTTATGAAGTGATAACTCATCTTGAAGTAGAAATTGTTCTTTATTATTTTAAAATGCATGGGTAACGAATTCTAAAATAACTTGTGTGGGAATAAAAGGAATTCTTATTTATATTCATAGTAATATAAAAGATATTTATGTACTATAAAAGGACACTTTCTTAAAAAAAAAAAAAGATTTATGATCTGTTTGATTTGAGTGAAATGAAAGGAGGACAGGGAAAATTTTAATGAGTTCAATTGAAAATAAAATGGAAAATTGAGTTTGAACTTTTTTAATTGATTTTCCCTTCTTTTTTATTTTACAGTTTTTGTCTTCTAAGATTTTACAGCTCCGTTTGACCAATCTTCCTATTAAACTCATAAACAATTTTCTTTCCCTACCTTCTTTTACATTCAATTTCCTTAAATAAAATAAAAAATATAATAAAATTTAAAAATAAAAAATTATCAAGTGCTCGTTCAAATTTTATAAAAAAAATGAATTATAAATGTTGATTAAGAAAGTGACTGGTAGAAATTTCAACTGCAAATTAAAAATTCACATCTAAAATTTAAATGTTTTATTTATAATTAAAAATTATAAAATTGCAATAATTTGAATTGATACTTGAAATTTATTTTTTAAAAATAATTATTGAGCATTTAATTGTCATTGATTATTCTTCACTAATAAAATTCTCCTAAAATAAGATACAGTGTTGGTGCATGGCTGGCAGATAGAAAAATATTTTCTATGAAGGAAATAGATAACATATTTTTTTAAAAAATGAGATGATATATTTTTTATTTTTTTAAATAACATTATATTATTCTCACCCATCTCTATTATAAGAACTAACTCATTAAAATTAAAAAGAGATGATTAAAGGCTTGTTTGACAACCTGTTTTAAAAGTAGTTTTATGTTTTTTAGAATTAAAAAATTGTTTGATAACATATTTTTAAAAAATATTTTAAAAAAAAATAAATATTATTCTAAAGAATAGAAAACTGAAAACGTCTTTGTATTATGGGATTGTTATTTTATTCTCTTTAGAAAAAAATATTGTTTGATAATGTATTTTAAAAAATATTTTTAAAAAAATTAAATATTATTCTGAAAAATAAAAATTAAAAATATTTTTTAGGTGTTATAAGATTATTATTTTAAAAAACAAGAAAGAATGTAAAAAATATTTATTTTTATTATTTTTTCTTAGAACATGCTCTAGAAAATACTAATTTTTATAACAATAAAATAAAAATAATTTTAAATAAGCCTTAAAACTATTAAATTTATCTAAAAATAAAATGAATGTTTACTTAAATCCTTATTTAAATGAAAAATTTTTAAATTTAGATTGCATTCTCCTTTATAATTAATAAATTTAAATGATAATAATAATGTACTTAAATGAAAACTTTTCAAATTTAGATTGCATTCTCCTTTATAATTAATAAATTTAAATAATAATAATAATAATGTTAAAAACATAATTAATCAAGTATTTTATACTCTCTCTGTTCAAAATTTAAAGTATTTTTAACTAAATTTAACCTTTAATAAAATAATTTTTTTGTTTTTAAATTAGACCTATATTTTTAAATTTATTCTTATTTAATAATTATTTTATCCTAAAATAAATATAAAGTAATTTATTTAATAGAATAATTTTTTTAAAAAAATAATAATTATATTTTATATTTTTTGATATTAACTTTTAAAAAATACTTTACATGATATTAATTTGTACACGTCACGTCACCAAGTAAATGTAACAGGACATGAGGGTGTACTTACCAAACATTTTTAATGTACCTGATCAAAGGGATCTAAAATCTGCTTGTAGTTACATAGGACACGATAGGAAGGTGGAAATTGGCAAACAACAATTATTCCGCGTAATTAGAAAGAAAAGTGAGAAGGCCGCGAGAACCATGAGGATCCTGTGCGGCAGACGGAGCGCTTTCTTTTGTTGCACTCATTCGGGTCCACTTAATCCCCTCAGAAGACGGGGCCCCACATAGCCTCATCTGACACTAGTCACGTGCCCACTTGTACTCTCATTGCTTTGCACGCGCCAGCACTGTGGAACCCATCCCCTCCGACTGATCGGATTCTTTTCTTGTCGATCGTTGAAATAAATGAAACAGCATCATCAATACGCTGGACCCAATGACACTCCATCATATTTATTAATTTTATTTTAACTTTAATTAAATAACTAAAATAAAAAGATATATGGTCTGAAATATAAACTATTTTTAAAAAAAAATTTGTACATTAATAAAAAATTTATTTCCATAAAAAAATATACTGCCTTTAATTTTATTTATTAATTATTTTTATTAATCTCATCAATATCAATATAATAAAAGTATAAGAATAAACATGAATGAAATTTAAATATAATCCTCAAATAAAAAGTAAAAAATAAACAAGTAATATAATATATTTTTTATCTTTTTATATCTTACTTATAATAAAAGTATAAGAAATAAATATAAATAAAATTTTAAATATAATCCTCAAATAAAAGTAAAAAATAAACAAGTAATATAATATATTTTTTTATCTTTTTATATCTTACTTAAATAAAAGTATAAGAAATAAATATAAATAAAATTTTAAATATAATTCTCAAATAAAAAGTAAAAAAACAAATAATATAATATATTTTTTTATCTTTTATTTTTCAATAATAGTTTGGTAACTTTAATTTAAAATAAATAATTCTATCAGTAAAATATATTAAATTATTTATATTTAAAAGTAAAATTAATTAAAAAATGTATATATATATATATATATATCCGTTTTGCTTGTTCCCGTGAAAACCGGCATCGGCCTCTCCGATCCAATGGCACTTTCTTTTCTTTTCTCCTCTTTTTTTAATTTTTTTTCAGATTTAAAATATGTTGTTTTGTTTTGTTTTGTTTTGCTCAGATACTATTAAATGGAAACGGTTTTAAGTTTTTCCAAAATTTTGGTTTAAGTAAAATTAATTTATAAGTATGATTTTAGGCAAAACTGGAATTGGTCAAAATTGAGGTCGGTCAGATGGTCAGTAAAACGTGATTTAGGCTTCAAAACCATGATTTTTTCAGTCTTCGAACACAACCAAGCAGGCAAGAAAAATACCATCAATTAATATATTAAAGTATTGACCATATTACTAAATTTGTCTTATTTTAATGCATGAAAACATTTCCATATTATTTATATAAATAAGGACATAACAAAAAATGTTAACAAAACTGTTTTAAATTTTTTAAATTACATGAAGTGAAACAAAAACATAAGAGAAAATTACACACAGATTTCAAAAAATTAATTACTATAAAATTCATTAATAATTGAATTAAGACCATTAATAATTTTATTAATTCAATTATTAATAGATATCATAATAATTAATTTTTAATGTAAGACTTTAACATAATTATCCCATACCATGTTTTAAAAAGATTCACATCATGAATCTTATTATTTATCATCACAAAAATTTAGATGTCTCAAAATTACCAAATCAACCCAATCCTGACAATTTTAAAAATAATTTAAGAAATTATCCAACATTAAACATCAGGCAGTTTTCACGCCGGACGCCGTCCATTTAGCTTCTTTTTCTTGTCTGCTCCTGTTTGATAAACATTTTTTTAAACATTACTCCAGAATGAAAATTGCTAAAATATAAATATTAACATAAAATATAAAATTTATAAGAAATTATATTATAATTGAAAATTAAAAAATAAATAAAGAAAATTTTAAGAAGAATGACATTTAAATCCAAAAGAAAATAAATTGTGATAGGTACATCTTGAGTTTTAGCTTTTTTTTTTTTGAAGAATCCGGTTATAAACATAAATTCAGTTATAATATGAGAATTATATTTAAAAATTAAACATTTTGTATATAATTAATTAAAACAATGATATGAAGAATTATTTTTCAACAAGAAAGCATTAACGACATGAAATGTTGCCACGTATGCTGGCCTTACTTTCCCTGGTGACACGGCTTGGAAGATTTTGGTCGACTCTGACTCTCACTGAAATTACACCCGCCTTTTCTCTATTCCCTCCCTTCATCAACCTGCATCATTGCTGTCCCATCACCATGTGACTGATCTATTTCTGTGGTAGTTCCTCTCTCTCTCTATCTATATGTCGGTAGAACCCTAGTAAGCACAATGCTTAACAGATTCTAACAGTAGCAGCTCCACATGGTCTGTGCTGGTGTTTGTTTCTTGTGCTGAGATTTGGGGTTGTACTCAGAATCTAGAATGGTGGTTTGGCCTAAGTGTTAGAGATGACTGGAGAGTGTTCTTCTTGCCGGGAATTCGTAATGAAAGCAGCTTCCACTAATGGGTCTTCGTTTTTCTTGCTCTTCTTCTTCTTCGCCGTATTGGTTAGCTCGATATCAGCTTCGTCTCCAAGTGGGTCGTCGGGGCATTCCATAAAGTTCATCCTAGGTTCGTCTTGGAATTGTCTTCAACTTTTTTTTTTTCCCATGACATTCTTCTTGTTCACTCTGATTTTGCTTCTGTGATGGGTTGGATTTAGATCTAGTTTTGCTGCCGGAGAGCTCATGAGTTTTTTCCCCCCTTCCTCTGTTTTTTTTTTATAAATGGAAAGATCGAATTCTTATGAATTTTGAGCTTCATGTTTGCTGAATTTTCAAGAAATTGGATCCTGTAAGACAATCTAAGCCCATATTGAACATTGTTTTTGTCGCTGGATTTTATTTGGAGTCCCAGAAATGGAAGGTACATTTTCTTGGCAACCAATGAACACGGATGCTTCTTTCTTTCTTCTCGGACTAATATTTTTTTGTGACGTAATTTGCACGGTTGTTGATTCAGTGATTTCTCTTACAAGCTTTTGTAATTAATCATGCTTGTTGGGTTTTCAGGAGAAGAAAATTTGGGTCCATGGAAGAACGAAATCGAGCAAGCGGCTCTTGCCCCAGGCCCTGAAACTGATTCGCGTCACGGAACTCTTGTATTGGCGGCAAACCGGACCAAAAGACCCGATATTCTAAGGCGTTTTCGACAGTACCGAGGTGGTTGGGACATCACAAATCAGCATTATTGGGCCGTAAGTACCATGATTAATCAATATCTATTTCCTTCTTAAACTAGCGTTCACTCCCCCGCGCGGAAGATGACACTTCACTGCAAATTGTTGCAGCGAAACTAAATTATCATCAATTGCATAACAACCACACAATCATTTCATTGACATATGCTATTGTAGAAGACATTTTACAATGTTAGTACATGCAACAGTACTTTACATTCAGTGAATAACCATGAAACTATCATGAAGACAAATTCCTGAACACTTCTCGGTACACTACATTTGTTGTTTTCTTCTTTGCCTCGTTATTGTTGTCTCCCAACAATATTCTTAAACCTCCAATTGATTTCATCCTTGACAAAGCCACATATAATTGCCCATGCATAAAGATTAGCCTCGTCAAGTACAACCTAGTATGTCGTAATGATTGACCTCAATAGTTATTGCAAAAGAAAGTGCGATTAAGAATTGTTTTCTCTGCATGCGAAATGGAGGATTTGTTGTGTTGTTGATGCCAATTCGATGATTACAAGTTAAATTCTGGCCTCTTAAAGCTCCTGTCATCCGATAATGTTTTTGTAGTCTTGTAGAACATGTTCTATCTTTTCATCTGCTGTGCCTTGCATAGTGGCTTTGGATGGTTTTTGTTCTTCTCTACACGACAATGGTGTTGATGTCCCAAATCACGTTATCTATCATAATAAGGAACATGAGATGATAACTGAACAAGTCTTTTATCCATCTTTTCTATTGTGAATTCTAATTTTAATTTCACATGTTATTTCTTGTTTACTTGAAAGTGCCTATCCTATGTAGCATCTAACCAATAATTTGTTGTCCTACTTTCATTTCATCAACATCTTTTTGCTTGTAATTATCAACTTCCCAATTCCATTATTTACCTTAATTGATTGGGTTTCATCCATTATACATACAGTCGGTTGGATTCACTGGTGCTGCTGGTTTCATTCTTGCTGTCCTATGGTTTATTTCTTTTGGTTTGGCGCTTGTAACTCATCTGTGCTGCGGATGGGGGATCAACATCAACGCCGAAGGATCAAATCATTCACGAAGAATATGTCTTATATTGCTCATAGTATTTACATGTGCTGCAGCGTAATGTTCTAAACTCATTTTAATTTTGCTTCCTTTTCTTTTCTTTTATTATTTTTTTTGTGACAAATTTTACTTCTTTAACTTGTTCAGTGAATTACTTTTTTCTTGTTATCTCTTGGTTTTTGCATGCTTTCTTCACAGGTTTTAAAAAAGTTGATTGTTTAGTTGTTTTTCCCTTTTTAAACCAGTGTATATGCATCTTCTCTCATGGTTTGTTACCTGGTACCTGTGATCTGTAATTTCTATAATTGATTGCAATTTTTCTACTAATATTTAAAATCAGTAATTAATTCTATGGTGGGTATTTGGAAATACGTGCAATGGAAAAGGAAACATGTGAAGATTAGTGGAACCTGGTTTGAGCTGGTTTTCATAGTTGCTTCCAGTGATCTTGATGGCTGATGTGATCAAATGGGAAAATGTATATTGCTGAATTATTTCCTCCATTTCCAATACCCTTTCATTTGAATTTGTAGAGAGTATAAGTGAGTAATGAGTTAGTCTGGACTTCAGAACTTGATGTCGCTGCTTGAGATTTTTTATTTTAAAATTAATGTGTTAAACCTTTCCTGGTTTCTCTTTCTAAGTGCTAACATGTTCTGACCTTTCGATCACACAGGACTGGATGTATCTTACTTTCTGTAGGGCAGAATAAGTTTCATGGTGAGGCATTGCATACCCTCCACTATGTTGTGAATCAGTCAGACTACACCGTGCAAACTTTGAGAAATGTGACTCAATATCTTTCTCTTGCCAAGACTATCAATGTTACCCAGATCATTCTTCCATCCAATGTCATGGAGGATATTGACAGTTTAAATACAGACTTAAATACTGCAGCAGATACACTATCTGAGAAGACAAATGAAAATTCTGTTAGAATAAGAAGAGTATTCAGTGCTGTGTATGTAATGATTAATTTTGTCACTCCATCTCCATTCATTCTATAGGATTTTATCTCAGAATCTGCAATGCTAAACTTGGTGTCCTTTTCATAGGCACTCGGCTTTGATTGTCGTGGCTGCGGTTATGCTTCTTTTGGCACTGATTGGATTATGTATGTATTCATGTTAATTTTACCGGAAAAATTTAGTTGCTGGTATTTTGCTGAAATTTCTCAAGTTAAAATTTGACAACCGTATGGTTTCTCAATTATACCATACATTTGTCATATTTTAATAACTGCACCTATGTTTAAAATGTTTTTTTTTTTTTTAATATTTATAACTGATCATTTTTTTTTTTTTTGGCCCCCAGTTTTATCTATCCTTGGACATCAACATGCGATCCTCATGTAAGTTATCTTTGCAAATGATCTATTTGAATTTTTAAAGTGGCTCTTAAGCATCCATTTCATGTTCTTATATTTGATTTCAAATGTTATTGCAGATTTGTTATCAGTGGATGGTTACTGGTTGCGATTACTTTCATTCTCTGTGGAGTTTTCATAATCCTTGATAAGTAAGCTATCGTATCTCAGAGATTTTAGTTTTACATTTTCTGGGGAGGGAATTTCAAATAATCCACATGAAAAGCTGACATGAACAGCTAATGTTGAACTGAAGTTCCATTTTTTGTACATTCTGGAAATTCCAATCTTGTATTAAAAAATGACATTGGCAAGACCTGACTATTATAATTATTTTCTTTTTTTCTATTTTAGTGCAATTTCTGATACCTGTTTGGCTATGGGAGAATGGGTGGAGAATCCACATGCAGAATCTGCTCTTAGCAACATCCTTCCATGTGTTGATCAGAGAACCACCAACAAGACACTTTTTCAGAGTAAACAGGTGGTCACCGATATTGTAAATGTTGTTAATCAGTTCATCTATAACAGAGCAAATGCGAATCCGAGACCAGGCAATCCAAATTATTACAATCAGTCAGGACCTGCAATGCCACCCCTGTGCTATCCTTTTGATTCTCAGTTTCAAGAGCGTCAGTGTACAGGTCAAGAAGTTTCCTCAACAAATGCTTCACTGGTACGTTTTTCACCACTCAAGACATGATTCTCAAACATGCCTCCACTTTCCGTATATAGATCTTAATGAGGTGTTGGAATGTTATACTAAAGCCCTGTACTGCTGGAGGTTATACTTCTTGTTTCTTGTTTCATTTTGGTGATTGATAGGCATTTCAAGTGTAGGTGACATGTATGGTTGACTCGCATGCTAAAAGGCCAACACAATTTTTTTTTTTTTTCAAAAAAAAAAACTCACAATTGTTTCTTTTTCTTTTCTCCATTAAACGAATCTGATAAACGTTACTTAGGAACCAAGGGATGCTTGGTTCAACCGATCGAAAAAGTTGAATCAGCTTATGGGGTCTCAAGTCCAGGTCCATATGATATGTAGTCACGTTAAGTAGATCTGCCAAAGGCATCCCTGAGGTACCTATGACTCGTGAGGTTACTATTGGTAATAATGGTCCTAGATAGTGGAGGTTTGGATTAGTTTGGATGGGGAGTGGTAATGCCCCATATATTCCAAGGTATTGAGTGATGGAATTTAAAAAATAATAATAATAATGCCATGGGGAAGAGGGAAGAGGGAGAAAATTCGAATTTTCCTCTTCAACTACAAATTCTTGTGGATATTCTGATATTGTTCTGCTATATATCTATGTTAGTGACAACAAAGGAGAACTCAAATTCCTGTACAAATATTTTCAGGTCTGGAATAAATTTGAATGCGAGGTATCTAAACAAGGATACTGCACAACAACCGGCAGGGTGACCCCAGAGATTTACTCTCAGCTGGTGGCTGCAGTTAACGAAAGCTATGCGTTAGAGCACTATGCTCCGCCTCTACTCAGCCTTCAGAATTGTGATTTTGTGAGGGACACATTCCAAGAGATCACTTCAAGTTTCTGCCCGCCATTGAAGCATTATCTGGAGATCATCAATGCAGGGCTAGGTCTCATTTCAGTCGGTGTGTTGATGTGCCTGGTTCTCTGGATACTCTATGCAAACCGCCTCCAAAAGGAGGAAGTGTTTTTGAAGTTTTCCTTTCCGGAAAAACTGAAGAATAGATTCAGTAAGAACCGCAACAACTCAAAATCAACTTCTTCCGCAGCTGTATCAAGTGAAGTGTAGATTGTACTATAGAGAAATTATTCACGAAAAGTATATGAATAGTGTTTTTCTTTCTCCACTATTACGGCTAAAATGAAACAAAGGTGGGGCGAAGCTCCAGCTTTGAAGTTGGAAGATTACAGGCAAACTCTAGTGTATTATACATAAAGCAAAAGCAAATTTGATTTGTTGATATATAATATTTTGAATCATATCCAATATGCATTTTGTTAGCAATGGCACCCTAGAGCATTAGATGTTTGGATTAGGGTATAAGATCAAATTAATCCCTAAATCACAAGTTCAAGAACATTTGGAATCTTATATTCATTTTTTGTATCATATTTTTTTAACAATTAAAAACAGTATAATTTGATTTTTATCATTAATAGAAATTAATTTTAATTATTAGTTGATAAAAAATTAATAAAAAATGATCTTAAAATTTACAAAAAAGTGATCAAATAAATTTTCCTGGTTTTGTTACATAATATTTTTTGATTTTTTACTGTAATTTTTTGATTTTATTTTGTAACATTTGAGATTCTTTTGTATTTTTTTTTTCAGTCAATTATCGATAAAGTTAACTTTTGTTAATAATAAAGATTAAATTATATCATTTTAAAAAATTTACAGAGAATGTTATACAAAAAATAAATTTAGAGTCTAGAAACTAATTTGTTATTTTATTCAATAAACTATTATATTTCAGGTTAAGGGGCATTTCTATGCCAATTTTTTATTAGAATATCTTGCTGACAATTCAAAGGTTGTAATATTGAGATTTCTCAACTGAGTTTGTTCAAAAATCATATCTATATATTAAGTTAACTAATGAGATATATTAATCTCTATCTGATAGACATCCTCTGTTTTTTCTATACTCATCTAATAGGGTACGGGGTACCACATTAATGTTATATCAACATTGATATTACCACCCAGAATAATATGATTAAATCATAAAAAAATTATCATCATAATCTCCATTATGATGGAAAGTCTTTAAATTTAGTCAAAGACTTTATTATTTTAGTTAAATAGTGAAATAATTGATTCTGTAACAAACAATGCACACATCAATTTTGAACCAAATGTATTAATCCCCTCACGTGCTTATTTAAATTCTTTTTTTTTTTTTTTTTGGTGTGAGAGAGAGAGAGAGAGAGAGACCCCTTGGATTAGAAATGGTGCTTCTGCCTGCCCACCAGTAAAACCAACACAAACACGATCAAAATACAACTTGCTTGATCAAAAAATTACTGAATTGAGGTTTATCAGTTCTTCTGGGTCAATATCAAAACCAAAACCCTTGGTCTCACAGCACATAAAATAACCAATTCTGATATATTCATATGACACAGCGTAAACCATTTCAGGTGATAATGATATATGACCCCATAAGCAATAGCAAAAGTTTGGGAAATGTAAAACGTCCACCATTTTTGTTCTGTCAGCTAAAACGAGCATTTCAGCAAGCCATCCTCAACAATAAAAACTGAAGAGAAATATAACATGACTTATGGAAAGCCTCCATCATTTTTGTTGTGTCAACTCAATCTTGCATCTCAGGGTGCCAATTTTAAACAATCTAGAAGAACAAGCTAAGATTGAACATAAGACACAAGACGAAACGAACATCTGAACACAACAAAATATATATTGTGCAGAGTATGAATTGAGTAATACGATTCTATCTCTCAAATATTTGCTCTTTCAGAGAGAACTAATTGGGTCCTACTGTATCCATAAACCACAAAACCAAGTTTAAGGAGGTTTAATCTCTTTTCGTATCACATATAGTCTAGAAGAACAGGCTCCTCCCACATTTCAAGCGCTCATCAGAAGTTTATTGATTGTGAAACCAAGAGTTCAATGCAACAGAGATATTCGCCGGTAATGGAAAATTCACACGAAGAAAATGTACTAGATAACAGACAGTAGAAAAAATTTCAGGCCTCAAAATTCACCAGGATCAAACATAGTTTCCTCATCATCAGGCTTAGCTTCCAAATTAGAGGAAGATTCGGCAACTTCTTGTGTCTCCTCGTGCGTCGCCAGAGCATGATTGACGCCATGAACGACGAGCTCGTCATTGTAGAACATGTTTGGAATGAAAACTTGGGCTCCGTTCAGCATCAATGCTCCACTCAGCCTCGATACGTTGATAGAAAACCCATCCAAATACGTCGGTATTTCTGACCCATCGCTAAAATCAACCAGATCGTTCCACAGAAGCTTGCAGGGCACAACATGGCGAAGAAAGAATGATGGATAGTCGCTGAAATTCCCAAGGTGATTCACCACTACATTATCAGCAGGAGCGAATACTGTCATCGGTGTCTCGTCAATAGACATTTGCATTCCAAGAAATGAAGCCATCACCGAGTAGCCTCCTGAGTTCAAGGTTTTAATGGATTCTTTCAAAGAATTTCTGGAACTCACAGTCTCGTTTGTTGCACCACACGCAGGATTTCGATGCGGTCTTCGATGTGGCGCCACGTACCTAAAATTGGGATCGAAGAACCTCTCGATTCCGTAGATTATCATGAACCCATCATCGTAGATTGGGGAGATATTAACCCTCACGTTGTTGAGGGATATTCTTCGATCAGAAGGCGGTGTGGTGACGACCAGAGAGTTCTTACCGAACATTGTTGGAATTTTGGCACCGGAAGGGAGCAGTCGGAGGCTCTGCGCCGGCAATGGCATTGGGGCAACGTGGAATCGGAGCAGATCGAGCGATGGCTGGCCCGTTTTACCGAAGGCAGAGTCAGATGGAGCAAAGATGGTGAGGGAAGGAGATTGAAGGAAAAGGGTTTTGGCGACGACTTCAATGGTCAGGGCCATGGAAATGAAGCCTGAATCGAAGAGAATGTCAGCGGCGTCAAGGATGGCTTCGTAGGGAACGCTGGAGGAGAGGGAGAAGAAGCAGAGAGAGAAGAGAAGAAGAAGTTGAAGAGAGGAAGCCATGGATCATCAGTGAAGCTCGATTCCGTGTCTGTTGCTTGCGAGACTGTGAGTGCAGGCGAGAGTGAGTCGTGAATGGAGGGATTTGGCGGGAAATCATAGGAGGACACGTGGTTCGGTATGATTGGTTGGTACAAAGATGTCGTTAGATGAATCGTTAGGCGTTACTAATGGAGGCTGGCCAGATTAAAAAAAATCAAAATATCAAGAATGAAAAGACTGATTAATTTCTGTTCTCATTTTTTTTTGTTTTTAAAAATTATATTAATTAAAAACAGTTTAAAATGAAAAATGGACTAATAGTTTTAATTATAGACAGTTAATGATAATGATCAATAATAAAAATTGATTAAGATAACTATAATTTTTAATAATTAAAATGATATATATTTTAAAAATAAAAAAAATAAAAAAAAATAACTTACAGTTGTTTCTATTTTTTATTTTTAAAATTTAAAAAAAATTTTTAGAAACAATTAAATGAAAAATACTTATTCAAATAAATTTTTTGTTTTTTTAAAGATAAAAAACAGTTTATAAAAAAAAAATAAATAGGCCCATAAATGCCTTATACATGGTTGATATAAAAAGGTAGAAATTTGTAAAATTTGGAACAAAATCAGATTTTGTGTATCCTTCAAGAAGCATTGAAAATTAGAGTCACATTATTATTTTATTGAAGTTAGTATTTATTTATATTTTTATAATTTGAAGGATGTTTGCAAATAGAGAAAGTTGAAGAAAATTATTATTTTTAATTTATAAATTTATTGAAATATTGAACATGTCGGTCTAGATGAATATGTTGCATTTTAATTTTTATTGTTTATAAGTATTTTTATATTCGATCATAAAATGATATTTTAAAAAAAGGTCGACAAAGAAGGAATGAAAAAGTTGCACCCACAAAAGTCCAGTCTCATGAGTTGATGGGCATAGCTTGACGAGTGTTGTTTTTTTTTTTTCTTTTAAGAGATAAACGGCCCAGTCCAATTGATAATTTTACATTGTTTTTATTGCATATATATATATATATATTAATTATCCTATTTAATTTACAGACAGGCACTAAATATAAAAATATTTCTTAAATTTTAGTTTGTTATGTTACAAAGGGCTAACATTTTTTGTTAGAACTAATTTCTGTTGGTATTTTATGTTGCTTTTATGAATAGGAAAATCACTCTCATATATGATTTAATTAACCTAAGTATAAACAAGTCTCATAAAATCATAGCATTACTTTGAATTATTCCACTAACTAATATTTAAGAATAATTGATAATTTCAATATATATGGCAAATTAATAATTTTAATGAGAAAGATGTGATTTCAAAATAATTTATAATTTTATGAGACTTTTTATATATTTATATTTCTTGTTTGCAACCTGAAAGTAATTATCCCTTTATAAATTTGATGAAATCATACGCAGCATTTCCCATTTTAAAAGCATCATTTGACTTCTGTAATATTTATTTGAATTTGCTTCTCTTCTCCTTCGATAAAATTAAGTTCTATATTTCGAATTTCGTATTTTAATGTGATAGCAAAGGCAAAAACGTTATTGTCAAACTTTAATACGAGATTTTGATTTTAATTTTATTATTAATCATTAATATGAAACTAGTTAGTAATAAAATTCAAAAGTATTAGCTGAGGGGATTAGGGATGCTTTAGCTTTAAGGCTCTTTTATTATTGCTTTATTATTGTTCTGTTTACATCATCCTTTGAAATCTGAGTTTCATCTACAACTAATCTATTACTATATCCTCTTTTTAATATTAAATTAGTAAATTTTAGCCTATAGACATTGTTGGATTAGCTTTATATTTATCAACAAAATATATACACTATTGGGGTCTTTTTATTATTATATAATCTTTCTTTGACTTTTTAACGCTATAGTTGAATTGAATTCCTTTGTAGCCCAATTCAAAGCCAGAATCACATCGCGTCGCGTCACGTCAGTTAATGTATTAAATATGAGTACTTTGATTTTATTTATAAATTATTTTTATTAATTTTATTAACATTAATATAATAAAAATATAAAGAATAAAATTTAATAAAATTACAAACATAATACTTAAAAAATAAATAAATTATATAATATTATTTTTTAATTTCTTTTTTTTTATTTTTTAAGAGTAATTTATTTATTTTATTTAAAATAAAAATATCACTATCAATCTAATAATTTATTAAGTGGACCATTTCACTTTTTTAAATTGTGACTAATAAAGTAGACTGGAGGGGATAAGTCTCAAGAAAATTAATTAATTTAAATTAAATTTGAAAGTATCAAATTTTAAAAATTTGTAAATTCAGCATTCAATTTTATAATTTTGTCATGATATATTTCTAACTTATTTTTTAAAATTTTGACATAATTAAAGAATAAATAAATTTATTTTTTTGTTAAAATTTAAAATATAAGTTACAAATTCATCACAATAAAATTGTAAAATTAATGGCCGAACTTATAAATTTCTAAAATTTGTTAATTTGAGACTTAATTTAAATGAATTAATCTCCTTGGGACTTATATATTATTCACCCTTAGTTAATCCTAGTCCACTTAAACTAAGCTACTCATGTTCACGTACGCAAAACGATTTCAAACTTTATTTAATTACATTTCTAGGAGCATGTGTAGTTTTTATTAATTTTATCTTTTTTTAGCAAAATTAATTTATAAATAATTTTTATTGATTTTTTATAATTAAATTTTAGGTAAATTGGGTCATAGAGATTTATCAAAGCAAATGCATGCCTCTAAGCTCAATAAAACATTTACAAAAATATTATAAATTATCCACTAATAAAATTTTTACATCAATAGTGAAATTTGATCCAACCTAGTTAAACATCATGTTATCTTTCATGTAAGATGTAGGCTACAATTTTTAATTTGAAATGTTTAATCACTAAGCCACCAATAGGGGTTGGCCAATTGGATTTAATATAAGGGGTTAATTTTCACAACATGATGAATTAAGATTTAAACCTTCAATAAAAATATACTTATATTTAATGCTGGACAATTCCTCCAACAAGATTATTTTTAATTGGAGGATAACTATGGATAATAAAAAAAAAAAAGTTCACAAAGCCAAAGTCAATTTGATCCTTAAACATCCCCAATGCATGGCACTACAATTCCTCACCACCTTTGTAGATGTACATTGGTTGATATTATAGATATAACTGATAATGATATTGGTACTCAAAAGATGTCAGGCATCAAATAGGTGACCCTATTTTTATCTCTAATTCTGCCAATCTAATTAGTATTATATATTTGTTTAGAGACCAGCAGCATCATTATATATTAATATGATCAATTTCAAGAAAAGACAATTTTCATTGGATTAATTGGAACTCACATATTCCATTTTAAGCTGTTGTGCCATATTAAATTCTTTATATTAAGTATATTTAAAGATAATCAACTTCACCAAAATAGCTTAATACATTTGATTAGAAATATCTTAATCTATCTTTTAATTTTTAGATATATGACTTTTTTTATCTTTAATATTTTTTCTATTAATTCTTTTTTTCATTTGTTTTCTTTCCTAAGCTTATACTTCTTTTGGTGAGGTCTCAAACCTAGTCAATTTTTTCCTCCTTCTCCTCCCTCTCTTTCAATCCCCCCTCTTTTTCTAGTCTTTTTGTCCCCGATTGAATGGTTATTGAATATTAAATTCTCTATATTTAGTATGTTAAGGTTAAGGATAGTTTACTTTCCAAATTTAAGATATTTGGTTAGTCATAGAAAAAAAAAAAGACAAATCAACTTACTTAATTGTAGCAATAACGAGACTATCCATTAGATAGGACTTAAAGATTGATTTAATTTAATTAGAAATTTTGAGTTTGAGCTTCAAACATGTAGCAATGATGAACTTCTTGATGGAAAGTATTTCTTTCAAAAAAAGTACTCACAAATTGTTAACCGAATTCAAATTAGTTTTGATCAAAGATTTAAAATATTGGTGTGAAAGGGGAAAAAAAGAATGTGCACGCTTGGTTTCCTAGCATGTAACATTCTGATGACTTTGGAAATTAACAATATGTGCGTCTCCCCCCCCCCCCCCCCACCATCTTTTGTATATATTGACTTAATTAATCAGTCACAAATAGTTCTTATATAATTAATTAAATTCAAAACAAATCCCATCATGAATTTATTAATGATGTGATGCTTACATGCATTCAACGCCTAAAGTTTTGTTGGTAGTTCAACAACGCACTGACATATTAACATAAAAAATCTAAGCAGACGTCCCACGAAGGATTTGCATGCTACCTTCTCCATCACTTAGAATTAAATGGAGCAGACCACTATTATGTATGTATATTAATTATTAATTTTATAAAAGTCTCTGGATTTGACGTTGTGCATGATGATGAGAACATGTCCAAATAGTTTAATATATTATTGACTTAATTATTTGTTCAACCTAACCTTATTTTATCAATTTGGTGCTTCAAACCCACAATGTTCATATAGTCTTTTCCAATTTCTAATTTACTAGGGCTTTATATAATAATAATAATAATAATAATAATAATAATAATAATAATGTTTGGTGGCCAATTACAAACTTGTTTAATCATTTTCCATTGGTGACTTTATCTTTGTAATTTCTTTTTTTTTTATTGTATATGATTGACCGTTTAGAGAAAATGAAAATTTTTAGCAGCTAATATATGGACTAATTTACATTTAAGTATTGTTTTGGGTCCATATAAAAAAAAATTAGTTCCCTTATCAATAATTTTTTCATCCACAAATTTAGAATCATGAACCTTACTACTTAAAGGTGTTGAGTCTGTTCGTACGGCATAGTCAACCTTATTAATGAAATGTTAATACCTATCTGAATAACCGTCTCAAAAGTCAAAGTTTGATAAAGCATAATATATCACATTGCAAAAGGAAAATATAAACTTTTAATTTCAGTAAATGAAACGCTTTTTTTTTTTTTTGGGCCAAATCATTCAATGAATGGTTACCCTTG